TTAACTTCTCATACTTTTGTAATTGCCCTTCTGTTTTCAGATGCTTTCATCGAAGGTTCAAATGTGAATAACATTATTTAAGTGCAGATTTTTTTGGTTTAATGATTTTAGTCTGATTCTGTTCTGCTAAATTGAAAGTTATGCATTTACAAGCAAAACAAAAATAACAGGAGATGCACATTTAGATGCCTTTCACTTAATAATTATTTATATTCTACTCAAATAAAATATTTGCACAGATATCAAGGGATAGCCTCAATATTGATTCTTTTAATACAATGTAAACAAATTAGCTGTGGTCTCAATAATTCTGTGCATCCAAAGAATGTGTCATGCACAATAAGACACTAATGGCCAAAACAGACTTCAATGTTTAGCAGAAAGTATGAAGTATGCCCCATAAGTATATACATAAGTATAAATAGCACTTGAATAAGGTTTATTATTTAATGGGGATGAATAAACAGTGAAAGTGCAACATTGATAAAATTAGAAAGCGTGCTCTAACACATTTCCTAACTGATGTATAAATGAAGTGATAGAGTAGACTCAGTTATCTGGGATAAATTGGGAAAATATTTTACAAAATTAAATATTATAGATAAAATTTTTTTGATTGGAATTATCCAAATAGTTTCAACTCATACCTTTATTTTTTCCACTTAAATGGATACAGTCTATTTAAAATAATTTTAAATGTCTAAAAATTATTAGATTAGGTTAAATAAATAATAGCTAAAACTTAACTTCTTACTATGTAAGAAGCAATTTTCCAAGTATCTAAAAAACTATGACAGAGGAATTCTTATTTCTCACTCTTTGTTTTCTCATATGTGGAGGAATATTTACTGGTGTTGATACTCCTAGATTCTCTCTACCTTCTCCCTCACTCCTCCCTTCCCAGAGGAGTCCCTTCATCTGGCTATGAGTTTTGGTAAAGAACCCAGTACCTACCTAACACTGCCCCTTCCTTGTGCTTTTGTTCTGAGTGTAGACATTCTGCTGTGCTCCTTCAGAGCAGTCTCTGCCCCTAGGGCATATTTCTCCTTAATTTAGCACTATTGTAAGTAGAGATTAGGCATGCCTAATTCTTGCATTTAATAATAGGAAGTCCATTTGTCTAGATAACTGTTATGTCCTCCAAGCTGTCTTTCTCAGCAATAAAGGTAATCACTTGCGTCTATCTGCTTTTATTCCTTCCTCTGATGCAGAACTCCAGTTGGAACAAGAGTGTAATGTATTGATACCATTCCAATCCCTAATAATCATTTAATCTCCACAATAATCAGTTAAGCTAAATAATATTTTTCTTCCATCTTATAGATGAGAAAACTGAGGAAATTTGGGAAGCCTGATTCTAAAGCCTATGCTTTTAACAGTGGAGCCATACTTTGAATTCTCTGGACCTAGACTCAAATAAAAATATTTGTATGTAGAAATTAAATAGGTGCATGATAAAAAATACAACCCTGCCATGTTCAGACTCATACCAAAACATCTTAGGACCAAAGAGTAACTGAGCTTGCTTTCGTTTTTCTGTACATGATACTCAAGTGGTTGGTTTGATGAGAGATGGTACTGAGGTGGATGGGGATTTGGAAAAAAAAAAAAAGTATCATTGGGTTGCAGTTAAAAGAAACTATAGATAATCTAAGAAAGAGGATTTATTGTAGTGAAAAGATTTGGGGTGACTCAAAAACCAAAGGAAAAGCTAACGAAGCAAGTTTCAAAAAGGATAAGAACAAAGTATCATTGGGTTGCAGTTAAAAGAAACTATAGATAATCTAAGAAAGAGGATTTATTGTAGTGAAAAGATCTGGGGTGACTCAAAAACCAAAGGAAAAGCTAACGAAGCAAGTTTCAAAAAGGATAAGAACAAGAGCAGCTCTGGGAATTTAAGTTTTCTCTAATGGCAAAGACTAAAGAGCAGTCTCCTCAGAGGACACCACTCGAATGAGTCAGCTGCATTCAGCTCTTCTGTCCTTCCACACAAGACTCAAATTCCAAGAGAGGAAATGATTGGCCTGCCTTGGATCACATCCCCTACGCCCATTTACTAGGAAGAGGTTACTTTGGCTGAGAGTCCTATCAATGCTACACCAGTGGAAGAGGAGTGAGTTCAAAAAAGGAGTCAAGAAGCTGTCACTAGAAGTGAGAATGGATTCTTGACAAACAAAATCAAGAGCAGTCTTTGCTATGACAACATTCTTCAGAAACCTTTCCCATCTTGCAAATTTAAAACCAACAGTTATAATAATTAAGTTTTGGGTCTCTTTTCAATCTTGTTTTCCCTNAATTTAAAACCAACAGTTATAATAATTAAGTTTTGGGTCTCTTTTCAATCTTGTTTTCCCTATGTGATATATAAGCCCAGAAATTATATTTTATATTTTTCAGGAGGTGTAATATCTTTAAACTTGTTTTTAAATACTGTATTTTGACCACAGAATGGGAGAAAATATTTACAAATCATATATCTGTTGAGGGATTTCTACCTAGAACCTGTAATAACCTCTTACAACTCAATAATAAAAAGGAACTCAATTTCAAAATGTGCAAAGCATCTGAATAGACATTTCTCCAAAGCAGATATAAAAATTGCCAGCAAGCATAAAAAAGTGCTCAACATCATTAGTTATCAGGGAAATGCAAATCAAAACCACAGTAGGATACCACTGCCCACCCACTAGGATGGCTATATTCAAAGACAGATAATAATAAGTGCTAGCAAGAATATGGCAAAATCGAAACCCTCATATACTTCTGGTGAGAATGTAAAATGGTGCCGCCACTTTGGAAAACAGTCTGGCAATTCCTTAAAAAGATAAACATAGAGCTACCATAATATCCAGCAGTTTCACTCCGAGACATATACTCAAGAGAAATAAAAACATGTCCACACAAAAACTCCAGTTTTTGTAATCTCCAGGGAAGTAAGGTTTAAGGTGAGATTTGCAGAATAAGCAAGGGCTAGCCAAGAAATGGTGGTAAGAAATAAGGATTCAAAGCAGAAGGAATATGTACAGAGGTCTAGAGATGAGAGAACATGTGCATTCGAGGCCTGAACTGAAACCAAGTGAGGTTAGAGTACTCCATAGAGTAGAAAAGGAAAACTGACACTAGAGAGGTGGGCAGTGGCCAGTTCACAAAGGGTTTTAAGTCATGTTTGGAGATTAACCTTAAGGACAGTGGGAAGCTACAGAAGGGTTGTAAAAAGCAAGACAATGACATGATCAGATTTACTTTTGAAAGAATGCTTTGACTGCAATGTAAAGAGCAGATTGAAGATACCGAGGATCAGAGTCAAGGAAATCTGTTAGGAAGCCATTTGGTAGTTGGAACCAGAGCTTTAGTGTCCAGACTATGGTAGTGATAGAGGATGTGGATAGAGGACAGATTCAGAAGATGTTTATTGGAAGTGGCAGGACATGATAATTGAAAGCATGTGGGAAGTTCGAGAGGAGTCAAAAATGTCTTCTTGGTGTCTGTTAGACAACTACATGGTAAATAGTGTCAATTATTGAAATAAGGCCCTAGAGAATAGTTTCCCCCGTCTCCATTACCCCCTCCCCCCACATCCCTGGGCTGGGTTAGAAGAGGAAAATGATGAGCTTGTATCTCAGTATGTCTATGTGACATAGTTCAAAGTGTGGCACTGTAAGTGGGGGCTACTTTTGTATATTTCTGTGCAGACTAATTAAGCTCAAAACTTGATGAAATTTCTAGAGTAGGCCTTAGAATAATTATCTTGCCTGGAGAGTTTCTATCACTGAAATTAGCAAGACTCTAAATTTTACATACAGACTCTGCATTTTTTTTCAAGGCCAAAATATTTCAGGAACTCTTAAAGTGACATGTATCACATTGGTGGTATAATACAAAGAATATTGAACTTTATCCAACTCTTTCACTAATAGTAAAGTTGCTTATCTTTTCCATGCAACAGGAATCTTACTGTAAAGTTAGGTATGAAATGATTATTCAAAACTATCTTTTAGTTCCTCCTAGTACCTAAACCATTCCCTAACTATAATATAGCTGAATATGATCTTAATTCTTTCAACTGCAAATGTTCCCTTGACTCTAAATTCAATTATTCTTTCATTTAGTATGTTAAAACTTGAAAGTACTATATAATATTTATGAGATTGTTTCTATTTTGTACCAAGTTCAAATTAAGAGAATATAGGCGTGGCTCTGAAGCAAAATGTTGGAAGAGCTATGAATGCAAAATACTGACTCTACGTTTGTTGCCTTTAGATGGGATAGATTAACACAGCAGAAACTAAAAAATGAACATGTGCAAAGAAGAAATATGAAGCTAGTATTACCAAAAGGACTATATTTTATCTTCAGAATTTCTTAAATTTACACTGAGTTTACATTCGAGAAAGACATTAACTCTTTCTCCTCTCTTTTTTTGTTCTTTCTTCAGCTCTGCCCTGCCGTGTCAGAATTTTTTTCATTAAGCTTTCTGAACTTCGTTCTGTTCTTTGAAAGATGATGTCAGAGTTCCAAGCAGGGAACACATTTGCTCTCTAATTATGCTTTTCTTCCCCTTTTCCTAGAGAAGTAATAACTTTTTGACTTTGCTGGTACATTTCTATTTATCTAATGCCAAGGCACCTGCAGTTACATAAGTGATGACATTTGCAAGTATTTTTTTCTAAAACATTTGCTAAAAATGAGAATTCATTCTAAAGGAAGTTTACAGTAAATACTGGCCCAGGTCTTACCTTCTTTGTTCTCTAATACCATAATCTTTGTTTTCATAGTATTCGGAGTACATAGCCACAATAGAAAGTGTTGCCTTTGTTCTTAAGACGATTCATTCTAAAGGAAGTTTACAGTAAATACTGGCCCAGGTCTTACCTTCTTTGTTCTCTAAAACCATAATCTTTGTTTTCATAGTATTCGGAGTACATAGCCACAATAGAAAGTGTTGCCTTTGTTCTTAAGACGTAATACATATTTTAATTATTTATGTTTTTCTATGGCAGATTAGTGGCTTATTCTTGGAAGGATGCAGTTTTGATGGAAATAGACTTTCTGAAAATCAGCATGATTCTCCTAGTGTGTCATCAGTTCTCCCTTGTTTTATGGGCTGGATTCCACAGGTAATACATTTTTAACAGGCACAAGTTTTAATTTCATCAATTCACTCTTAGAGTTTATCTTTTCAATATGATATGCTTGGCCTATGTATTTTTGTTTGCTTTCTATTATCACATGCATTTGACAACTTTGTAGTCAAAATATTTATCCTTTATAATTTAAGATGTACAGGACATTTAAAACCTTCACTTTGCTGTGGAAGAAATAACAGTTTTAATTTCTAAAGAATTTATAGCCTAGTAAGAAAAAAGCCTATAATGATAATAAGAACTACCATGTATTATGTTCCTCTTATTTTCAGCAATGTTCTAGGTGCTTTATATACTTTACCTCAAATACTCCTCAGAGAAGCTGTGCAAGTCTGATATTATTATTCCCATTATCAAATGAGGAAATGTGTGCCCACGGAGGTTGTTAGATGACTTCCCACAGGTACACAGACAGTGACAGAACCAGGGTGTTAATACATGTCTGGCTTTATATCACATCGTGTCATGCTGCTGATAGGCAGATGAAGAAAATCTTGACAAAGACTTATTTGGTTAACTCTCTCCCCTTTTAAAACCTGCAATTATTGAAAGAACTTTCAACAGTAAATCTTGGGGCATATATGACTTTAAGATAGGATGTAGTCATAGATGAAGCACATAATGTTTCTTAACAATGATATTTAAGAATGCAAATATGAATATATGTGAATAAACTTTGAATTTTTGATCCTATATCTAATGTGCAACAAAACTACTTCATACATTGCTCACTACAAGAAAAATGAATTTTTTAAATTGGAAAACAGTGCATTGAATTTTGTAGTTATTGTAATTCTCTTCCCAGAATGAAAATCAAAAGCAACAGAGTATTTATTTTTTAACAAAACTAACTAAAGCTGTAGCAATAATTAGCAGTCATTGCTTAGAGAGCTATAAGAGTAACCTCTGACCTAAAAGAGCTGTGAAGCCCCCAGTTTTTCCCCATATCAGCTTAATTTTCTCCAATATTAGAATAACTGACAAATGAAAAGAGAAGTCAAAGAAACTTTATTTTATTTCAATATTGCTATTAATTCATATAAGGAATTTCTACAAAAAGTTTGTAAATTATGGATTACACATATTTTGACCTTAGATGTGTGAACCAAATTAAAAGTTACATACAAAAGTTAAGGTTGGTATTTGCCAAGGGTTATAACTATAAAGTTGTATGATGACAGAAATAAATACTAATGAATCCAAATTATGTGAAGTGCTAATTCTCTGGCAAATAAAATTAAAATACATATAATGACCTTGATGGGAGAAGGGGGAAGCATAGGACAAGTATAAACTGGTTCACTTAAGGAGAAACCTCAGCAATAACAATAAGAGCATGGAGAGAAAATGACTAGGAATAAATGTAGGAGAAAATGGCCTGGAGCAATACCTACATAATTAACCACAAACTGAGTACAAATTAGGGATGCAATGCTGTTATGAGCAAAGACAGTTTGTTAGGAGGTTATATGAAAAGCAATGTGACTTTACAAGACTAGGAATTGATACCTTTGGAGTTTTTTACTTCATGTATCATTTCTAGCCAATTTTATTTATCATACTTTAAAAAATCAGAATTGAAGAAAAAGCTAAAAATAGGACTGGCCAGTTAGCTCACTTGGTTAGAGAGCAGTGCTGAAAACATAAAGGTCAAGGGTTCAGATACCCTGTTAAGGCCAGCTGCCCAAACAAAAATAAAAAATAAGGATAAATTTTTTTTTAAAAAAAGCTAAAAATAATTCAATTTGAAAAATAGCTCATGTAAACAAGGGTAAGGTGAATTGTGTATTTAGCCTATAAAATAAGTAGCTAAAAGGTAATACAAATTTTTTACTGTTTTTATATAAGGATTTCCCTTTAGGCTTTTGTGCTTTTTCATGGCATGCAAAGGAAGGGCTTATTGCCACTTTCCTACTTCCTTTTTTCCCTCCTTCCTTTACAGTGGGCCTCATCTTTCCATACAGTTCTACTGCTTTTAAACTGTCTCTCCCATATCCTCTAAGAAAGAAAAAAATACAATGAGACATATTGCTAAGTGTTTCAGAAAACAAAATTTTGGAGTACAACAGACCTGAATTCCATTTCCAGTTCCACCTCCCAAACTTATGATCTGAGTAATTTAGGCAGGGTACCCAACCTCACTGAGCCAGTTTCCTCATTTGAAAATGGAGATAATGATGTTTGTCTAGGACCATGTTGAGGATTAAATAAGTCTCTATGTGTGTAAATTACCTGGCACAGTGACTCATGCATGGCAAATCTATTTTATCCTGTTTATAATAATAGTAATATTATATTAATATTTTTAAATGTTTTTATAGTGGTGTGATAATAATTATCTTATTTCATGTAGTGCTTTATAGTTTACTAGTGTTTTCACTTATCATTAAATACTTGTTTTTTATATAGTAGATATTATGCTGAACACTGCAATTACAAAGAGAAACAAATTTCTCTCATCAAAGAGTCTTCTGTTGACTGGGGGAGCAAATAAGTAAATAAACCATTACAGTTCAGAATTATAAGTGCAGTTATAGAGGTTAATATAAAGTGCTCTGGCAGATGAAGGAGGCCTTAACTTCCATTATGTGAGCAGATGAGGGAAAGTCAGATGACCTCACAGAGAGAGATGGCAGCTTCTCTTGAACCGTGACTTGAGGTATGAGTAATAAGAGTTCAAGGACAAATTCAAAAGAGGTAGGGGACAAGGCATTCCAGATAGAAGGGACAGCATATGTGAATGCATGCAGGTATGAAAGATCTTAGGTTATTCTGGGAAGTGCGAGTATAGTACATCTAGAAGAGTGGTAGGGGGTGTGGTCAGAGAGGAAGGAAAGACCAAGTATGATAAAGCTGAGGAGCCATGCCAAGGAGTCTAGACCACGTTATACTCAGTTGAAGACCAAGTATGATAAAGCTGAGGAGCCATGCCAAGGAGTCTAGACCACGTTATACTCAGTATAACGAGTATTTCTGGGAAGTGCGAGTATAGTACATCTAGAAGAGTGGTAGGGGGTGTGGTCAGAGAGGAAGGAAAGACCAAGTATGATAAAGCTGAGGAGCCATGCCAAGGAGTCTAGACCACGTTATACTCAGTTGAAAACCATTAAGAATTTAGAACAAGAGGGGTAAGATCAGATTTGTAGTTTTAGAAAATCAGTCTAGTGGTGAGAGGGTGAATAATAGATTGGCACAGGGTGAAATACAATTATACTTTCATAGCAATCCTATGTGTTTGGTAGAGCAGGTTCTCTCTGCTTTGCTGATGAAGAAACTGAGAATCAAGTGGGTTAAGTTGCTTGGTATGGATCCCACAATGGTAGCATTAGTGTTTAAACAATAATAATCAGCATTTACTTGTACTGATTACAAGCACTGTGCAAAGTGTTTAAAATACAAGGTATTTAAGACTTGCAAAAATTTTTGAAATAAGGATTACTATCTTTATTTTAAACTAAGAAAACTGAGGCTTAAAAGATTATGTAACTTACCCAAAGTCATATAGTTAACAGGTAGGCAGTTAAGATTCAAATCAAGGGGTCTCTCCTAGACCTTAAGCTTAATACTGAGCCTCACTAACAGTATAAACTAGGGTTTGGAAAACTGTGGCTAATAGGCCAAATCCAGCATACTTCTTGTTTTTGTATAGCCATGAGCTATGAATGGTTTTTACATTTTTTAAAAGTTGATAAAAATCAAAATAATATTTCATGATGTGAAAATTATATGAAATTCATATTTTAGTGTCCATAAATAAATTTTGGGGGGAAAACAGCCATGTTCATTTGTGTAGATATTGTGTATGGCTGTTTTCAGACTACAATGGCAAAACTGAGTAGTTGTATCACAGACCTATCTGGCCCACAAATCTTAAACTGTTTACTATCTGGCCCTTTATGAAAAACGTTTGCCAACCCTGTATAAACTATTAAACCCTCCAGCTTCCGCTTAGATTAAATATTATTTTCTTCAAGAAAGTGGTTTTTTCAGGGCAACTTTGGCTGTTTTTAATAAACATTTTTTACTAGGAGAGAAGGAATGAGCATGTAAAAACAAAGGAAGCATCAACTTTATATAATCCAGAAAAAGTTACTTCTGCCATTGAGTCCTACAGCTGCTTTGTTTCAGAAAGTTGAGAATTCTTTAATAATCTTGGATGAAATAATACAGTTCATAACTTTGGTGACTAAACTTTCTTAGGCTAAAAAGTGTTGGCACAAATTATTTCCACAGTATTATCTGACACCCAATAACCCCCTCCCTACCAGGAATGGCTTTATTCCAGCAGAAACTTGCCCACTAACCCAGTCATTTAAACAACGTTGTTTCAAGGTAGATAGTGCCTCCATTTTTCAAAGAAGAACATTTTAGTTTACAAAATATTGATAAAAACTTTTGACATTGTTTTAATATGTGGCGATACTTAGAAAAGGATATCAGCAATAAATTTTAAGACTTCTTTTGGGGCAGGAGGAGGAAGCTCCATGATTGCTTTTATTTTAAATGCAATGTACCTTGTGAATTAACAAAATTGGAATTACAAATTCTGAAGGAAAATTGAAAGTAAGTAAAATGCTGGTGAAATATTTTTCCAGTGTTTCTATTTACCATTGTCTATGTGTACTAAGATGATACAAGTATAACCGACATTCACACTGTTCACTTACACATTCATTCCTTCTTGATGCAGATTCTTAACAGTTGTTCCAGTTCTGGCTCAGTGCTGTTGTTTAAATTAATATAGGTCCAAATTAAGGTTACCCTATGGGATTTTTACCCAAAGAAGCATTAGCTTTTTTCCAAAGCATTTCCCAACATGTTTCTATACACTATTCCATAGTATTTCTCTATAAAAGAAAATTGTTCAATAAACAAATTTAATAAACACAGTATTTTTCCCCTTAGAAATTCTTGTATTAAAAGCTCTGATAAGTCCCAAAGATCACCTATCACACAGCCTTCTCATGCACCTA